GGGCAAGATGCTTTTTGAATCAGATCCCAATGTCAATTTTAATGAAATGAAAAACGGCTTAATATTTTAACGACTTCTTACGTTTGACCGTTTAAAGTGAAGTTAAATGTTGAATGTTGCCTCGTTCAAATATCATTATTTTAGTTTTAGCTGTGTCAACTTTCAGATTCCATGTTTGGCACTACGAATTCAAATAATTTAACATTGACTGTAATGCATCGGGTATATTGACAAATAGAGCTGTATCATCAGGAATAGGCATACATAATTTAAAGTAATGTAATGTAAAAAGTTCCGTCAATATTGCAATAAATGTTATGAATTATGTCATTTACGAAAAGTATAAAGAAATGACTTGCACTGGGGTCATCTTGATTTGCGCCTGTGGTTGAGTTGAAATTTACGATATCTCTTTATTATACCTTACAGCCAATTTCACGTTCCTGTACATGCTTCCAATTCTCTTTTCTCAGTACTAGATGGTAAAGTAAAATCATTATAAAACTTCAAACTGCAAACGTGCTTATCAAACTAACCTGCCCGTGAAAGTCAGAAGTGAATTATTTTTAAGAAAATGCATTCAACATTTTTTAAAGAAAGATAAACATTCTGAATCAGACAAGGTAAATAATCTAACAAAGAAGCTTTTATGAATTATCCCCCGTCTTTATTTGATTTCAAATTTGAAAGTGAACATCATTAAATTGAATATATATGATAATATTTGAGAACTTTACCTAAATGAATAATTACTTAGCCAAGTAATTCAAAGTGAAAAGGGGAAAATATTCAGAAACAAATAAAAAGTTGCCATTTGCAAATGCTTTCAATTTAAAAAATGTAAAGGTATTCCGGGTTTGACATTTTTAATGCTAATGAAAGGCTCTCAAAGAAGAAGAATTAAGCAAACTTGAGCAGTCTTGCTTAAACCGGACTAAAGAAAGCTGGCCAAAAAGTTGTAGAATAATCAACTATTGTCAGGGATCCCAGATTGAGTAAATGTTGCAATAAAACACATACGAGTAATTGAGCGAGTAACTGAGTAGGCAGGTTTTAAAACTGTTTTATAATAAATTGAACACCTTTCGTACCACTTAAGATGATGCATACCAAATCAGCAACCTTAACTTTTTGAGAGGCAGGAGATCAACAACCAATTCCAAGCTCGGTCTCCTCATAATCTTGCTTAATATTTATTTGTTACAATATCTCATACCTTAGTATAGGTACTATCCCGAAACCATTTCCATATTTGTTACACTAACGTTGATCTTAACCTCAGGATGTTCAAAAACAACCCAAAGATAGATCACAACATAAGGTTTTTATATACCAAATTGATAACAATATCTGATAGCTACATTGTATCTCTAGTTATCGTCTTGAAACATTTTTCTATTTGTAGTAACAGTGACCTTGACAAACGAGGTTCCAAAAGCATTTCACATAAAATTGCTATTTACAAAGTTTGAATACGTTAACTTAGTTCTAACTCGTCCCAAAACTACTTTTCTATTTTAGTTACAATGCCCTTGACCTTAACGCCAGGGAATCCAAAGCTATCCTATCAGAGGTCTCTACAAACCATTTTTAGTAAAATAATTCTTTTCAAACTTTTACTTATCTTACGAAATTGAAGTTGACCGACCGAGGATCAAAATGGCTGTTTCCTATTGTTTGTAGGAGTATAAAAATCTTTCTCAAAGGCGACGCATTTGTGGAATGCAAATGTGTGTTGTTTATTATATACGCTTAATATGTCACCTTTAAAAATAAAGAAAAGTTATTATTATCATTATTTAATATCATCATTATTATTTATTATTGTTATAAAATTATAATTATTATTATTAATCCATTTTTGACCAGCATATTCATTTGATTTAAAAATCCAAAATAATGCGTTTAAAATGGATTTCTACTACAATGTCTTCATATAAAAGGTGGTAAAGTGACACAAATAATGTACAGCAATGACCTACAACATGATTAATGTAGACTGTCATTACAACAAGCAATGTTATACATGTATATACAAAGTATTTAAAACCCAAACATTCCTGATTCACAGTGATAATATCCCAACTTCAAGTATGTTGTAATTTTATCAAATATAGTTGTTTGCAACTTGTTTAGCATGGCATCAGAAGGTGAAAAGTGCACTGAACTGACCAAACATTATTCTAGGTATCCAAATAACAATTGCCATAAGTAACTTGAGGATATTGCTATCTACCAATATGCTACCTGTAAAGGCGTTACAGCTTTAAAAATAAGTTCTACATTAAAAATTTTGTGGAATATATTCAGACACTAACAGAGAATCATGAAGAAACTTTTAGCAAGATTACCCATCCCGAGGCTTATGAATTTTAAAATCCTGCCGAAAATTACCGGTTTAAAGCCCCTAATCGCGCTTTCGCTAATGCCAGTTCCAAAGCCGTGTCCCTCAATGTTCCTTTCTGTTGACAGTAATATATGTATTGTTGTGTATCGTCGATTAATTATTTGTTTCCGTTTATATCTCGGATTTATTTTCCTTACCATTTAATTCAATTCCCTTTCTCTCTTCCTTCCATCTTAATTGCGCCTTTCATGGTTTGTGAATGCGTATTAATTTGTTATCGTTTTTCGCTCACCGCTTCTCCATTATTGTGCACTTTGCGTCTATGTCTGGTTTGACTTTGCTTGCCGTAGCTGAACAGCACTCCCTTGTTGTATATATTCATGTTTAATGCTGCATCAATAGATGTTGAAGAAAAGTTGTTTCTTGGCCTGATAAAGTATATCATAAATGATGTAATACCTTTTGTAGCAGCCGAGTATTAACAATATTCACTTAAAAACTGGTTTAGAAAAGTATGCACAGAGACTTTACGAGATACATTTCAGTACACAGAATTTTCAGCGGTTTTACGTTATTAAGTACATGCCTTTTGTGTTTTGCTTTATAGTTCATATGTAGTGAATTGAATGGCTTTTAACGATATGTTTGAGACCGCTTATGAACTTGCAGATCTTGCTGATCTGGGAAAGATAGGGCCCATCCCAAATATACCTTATCAACTACTATTTTTGTTGGCTATTACTACCAGAACCATGAAACATGTTTTTTGAATTCGGGTTCACTACACAGGAATTGGACACAGACATATGATACCGATTGTTCTTTATTTATTGTGGTGTATATTTATCTGCTATTGAAATTAGAGACATCAATGGCCACTACTTAATCATGTAAGTCATGTAATATCAAACATATTTATAAACCTAACAATTTATGATAAAACTTTCCGCACCTCTAGCACTTTTAAGTGATTAAATAAATATCATTTTGTCATTTTTAACATGTGCAGTGATGATTGTGTTTTGTGTTTGACTTAACAATCAATGACTTGTCGAATTTCGACAAGAACGAATCGATTCATCAAATATTTTGATTTCTTTTGTAAATCTGATTAGAAACTTATTTCACCACAGTCAATGTCATTACTTTTCTTACATTAAAAGGGATATACATGCATACATATAACAAAGTGTACCGATGTATTTATTTATTTATTTATTTATTCATATTGAATAACAAAATCAAATATTCCTATGAATTATAGATTAAAGATCTGGAGAAAGGTGATCCAAGTCACCATCAAATAAAGTAGAATAGAATAATATAAAGAAACAAATCCTGTAGAAAACCAAGAAACGGCATAATTGAACATGTTCCTGGCCTTTGTTTGATTGACGGTACTAGAAAGTGCATAATACCTAGCACCGGCTTCAGTAATATTCATCATTTAACAAGTTCACCATATACAATTTATTTGGTTGGAAAATAAATGATAATAATGGAAGAAAAATGTGCATAGGTTTTGAGAAATGCAGAATATGAAGTTCGTTAGAGTTTTATACGTTTATTTCTGTTAGCGCTTTCAATGTTTTACATATCTTCAGACAGTGACGTATAATATAATCATAACAAATATTACAATCAATTGAATTATATGTATAATTCACACTTAAATTGTTTTTGGCAAGACACACAGTGGCTCTCATTTTGGCATAAAACGTAACGAGGGAAACAAAAATAAACTGATGATGGTTAAATTCAGGTCTGTTATAGTAGTAATGTAGGTTAGAATAAACAGCAAAACGAATTTTTCCTACAAGGTTTATGATTTTGTTTAAAGAAAACTGTAATTTCTGTCCGAAGCAGCTGAATTGTTTGGTGTATGCAAATAAAATTAAGGTTACAATGACGTAGCATGATATTTGAAGGTCACACTTATTTCTTTGAGACAAACATATAAATATAATTTATTATGTGGTTTAAGTGTTTTCCTTTAAAACATGAATATTCAAGAACCATAGTCGCTTCTTTCTATTATATATACTTAATTAACAATCAAGTCAGATACTTGAACAATACCGTAAGTTATAGACAACTTAACATGGTCAGTGCATAAATATAAATACCCAAGATCGTCATTTAAAACAATATAACAAAGAAAAAATGGTGCATGTATGTGATAAATTATAAAGTTGGACAACTCAAAATTTTGTAAATCTTTTTACAATGTTTGACTTATTCCAGAAATTTCATTCTCACAACAAAAGGGTTTTGAAGCAGCTCTAAAAAGACGCCGTACTTCTTCAGAGATGTATTATTTTACATAAGTTTCTCTATCGGAAATATTGATTCTTATTCTTTAAGTGTTGACAATAAAATACTTAATAAGCTGCTGTTGATATGTCTATGCGCAAAGTGTTTTCGGTTGTTTTTTGTGTTTTGCTTCTTTCCATTTTTCGTCTACAATTTACAAGGAAATTTGTATTCATATGATTTTCTGTATCAATTACTGGGCATACAAGTAATATAAAATAAATGCATGTACATGTATCAAAAAATACAAACACGTTTTGTAATTATCAGCATACAATGCAAATATCAATTCTTCATTAATTTTGTTCCTTTTTAGTATCTCGTCAACATAAATTTATGTACAAACCGACCGAGTTTCCATATTCAAGATGCACTTCTCATTACCCTGACCAACTAACGTGTGAAAACCTAAATATCAGTAAAGGTATGTAAATATTATTCTGATATAATTTTATCGTTCTTATAAATCTCGATTTATTGAAAGTAAAAACCTTTTTAATAAAGCTTAAAGTCTTTGTATTTATGAGCACGGTTGTCTAATATAATGGTACCGGTATATACATATATATGCTTAAAATCTTTGGCTGCTTTAGAAGACCGATACTTTGGTTTTATATGATATCAATAATGATAAGTGTTCTACGATTATATAGTTATAAAGTGCATAAGCGTATAAGTGCACTTGGGTGGTATTTGAAGAATATTGCTTACTTCATTACATTGTATTGAACATGATGACTGCCTGTATGTTTAATGATATGGACATTTTAGGCTTATCATATTTGAAGACATGTTTCTCATTATATGGTAATACACAGGCTTCGATAGAAAACGAGTAATGGAAATCTGAACTAATAATGTAACACAGACATAGAATTAACTTATCTATTAATTTGTTCACACAGTGGCTTAATAAATGTCTTAAAGCTTCAAGTTTGTTTGAAATCCGTTCCTAATGTAGTCGAGCAGATAGTGAGTTTACAAACTTAGGCTTAAAGGGACTCCACTGAGGTATGTTGACATGATGGGACTGAAAATATTTTTTCCAGATAAATGTACCATTTAATGTAGGTTTAGTCCACTAATCTTTGTGCCAGCTTTCAGCTAGATCATTCGCGCACTTCATTTTTCCAGAATAATTATTCAAATTGTAACAAAAATGACCCAAAATGAAAAGCGTTTAATTTATTTCAACGTATATTTCTTAACTAAATTTGAAATATATTTCTGTTTAAAGTGTCCCCGCTCATTTATGTAAAAAAATGTTATGTTTTAGGCTTTTAAACCTTAGTGGAGTTCCTTTAAGAGATGAGAATGTGCTATCAATGTCATTATGCCATTGATGCTGTAAATTTCTAAATGTAAGTCAAATCATTGAAACTTGATTTCATCATCTGCCAAGTTAGGAGAACAAATGTTATAAGAAGATGAGATATCACCTAGAACTTTACTATAATATTCCCTTTGTCAATCTATGTTTTAACTATGGATTGTGATTCGTTATTTGAAAATAATTGTCAACTTATATATTTAGATATATGTTCCAGTAAACGTGTCATGATTAAAGAAAGTCGAACTGTCTTAATGCGTATATAGAGTCTCCTTTCCTATATTCGTTTAATCCAATCTAAAGGGCGTACGTTTAACAGTTTTATTTTAGATATGAAGAGTAATAGGAATTAATAAAAACAATAAAACAGAATCCCCAAAGAACGTCAAAAAACAAAATTTAAAATGTTGCAGGCTCGGTTTTATAAACGGTACTTGAATATGCAATTTACCATTCATGTCCCTAGCACCGGCTTAAGCAGAATTCAAGATTTATCATGAAAAGGATGAAAATTTCAATTTATAAACAACCGCAGATGAATTCATACGGCGGTCACCCTAGAACTTGCAATGTGACACTTTGAACCCAAATGTCATGTTGTTTGTATTTTTACGCTTGTATTGCGTCTGTATCTTTTAACATTTACATACTGAATAATGCTTGAGTCGGATAATTTTGCTTGGACGGAAGCTTTCATCTTAGGATATACTGTAGAACAGAGTCTACGGCATTTTTGATTTTGACCTTTAATTCTATATTCCTTTAAAGAGAGGCAAAATAGATTGTGTTACGTTGTTTGGTGAACTTCAAGGTGATATTATCTATAGTTGTTTAACCGTGTGGTTTAGGTCGTGAAAGAAACATTTTGGTGACGATTTCTCATATTTTATTTGTAAGCGGATAGTGACAAGAAAAAAATAATCCAAATGCTATAATTTAGAGAGACGTATCCATTTTGGTTTTGGAGTTTAACCAGTCAAAAACAATTAAAAGATAATACCGACTTTGTTGCAAAATCTAAAGCCTTTTGCTTTTTATGCGCATGTGTTGGTATAACTTATTTTCACCAAAAGTTCTATTTTTTTTTGTTCATAGAAAGACGAGACCAACAGAGTATGTGGCCACCTGGGCCATATGCAATACCAATGTCCAAGTATGGCTGTCCTGAGTCACAGTCCCGCGGATGGTTTAAGAGTTTTTTGAAGGTGAATATGGTCGTATTAAGTAGCAGTTCTGACAGTTCCTCTACACTTAATGGCAGGGAATCGGAGCCGGTCTCTTTATTCGAAGACGATGACTTTTTCAAACCACCTTTCAAAACTGAGGATTTGAAGCTGTATTTTTGCGTAAAATACCGAAATGAAACTAAACTTGATCAAGGACAATGGATTCCAGGAAATTACAGCATTTATAAGATTGGACAATCGTGTCCTTTAGGTATATCTTTGTCAAATATTTGCTACATGAGTTGAATGAATTTTTGTTACGCCGTTGCTAGCCCGAAAAAGAAATGCACGCTATTTGATCTTTCATAAACTCACTCAATCAAATAAAAGTAAGCCGTCATTTTCTGAAATCTTTGCTTAAATTATTATCTCATGATCTCTCCTTTATATTACATTTGTTCAGACATCGCCAATAAGCCGAATTTTATAAAATGAGTTTCTATCATTTCATATATTTGACATTTAAGATAAAAGTGTAAGGTTGTTTAATATTTCTAGAATTCGAAGAGTCAAGCCGAACACTTCCCGTCACTGACTTTGTGTCGTATGGTATTGTTCCTAATATTGAAGTGCCTAAAGGAGGTATGTTTGTGTGTTATAAACATATAATTTTGAACTTAATATATTGATGTCATTTGGTCGATTAAAATAATATTCAACCACATGACATTTAAGAATTTGAAGGAATTTAGGTTTGTTGACGTAACATTTTTCAGTACTGCATTGCACACGATTAAATCGGGTCTGCATATTTTGTTCATTGTTTTGTTGCAATTTAGTACATGTATGTACAGTAGTATTGTTACATAAAATTATTCACGTTACTCATTGTTATTTCATTCCAGTTCATAGTTTAGTTTATGCTTTGATAAGTCTACAACATATTTTGTTTCATGCATATCTTATTACATTGCACGATTTCATGTGCTTTTGTACCAATGTGTAGGTATATATTCGGTGTTTTACTATTGTTTCTCACTCGAGGCAGTATTTGACAGCTTTTAAAACGTTCTTTAGAGTTATAGTTATTTAGAATACTATGTCGCGGGAAAATTCGCCACCACGTGCAAGTTTTTCAACAGTTCCAAGGGAAGAAGTTGTCTCTGAGTTGAAGCGTTATTTTGATGACAAATTTAGTTCGCTTTAACGTGATTTGAAATGTGATGCTGAGTGGATTGTTCCTTCAGTGACAAAGAAGGTAAAAAAAGGATTCTTTAATTTCATTCAATTCTTATCAGAATAGGAAACAGTTCGAGTTCAATAACACTGTTTTAGACTTACTTGACAATATTGATAAGGCAGTTTCCAACAGAGAGGCGTCTAAATCTAAGGACTCTCTTGCTGAAGCTTAGAATGCTATAACTCATAGACATAAATTGATACGTATTGCTGACGGTTAAGATTTTGAGTGGTCTACCATAAATGAGTACGAGTAACTGGAAGAAGAGTCCGACTCAGGAGATGATAAAAGAATTTGTCGTGCTGAAGAGCGCGCTAAAAAGAAGGTCGATAAAAATGCCTATTTTTATGATAATCGTTTTGCTAGTTCTATGCTATAAATTGGGCGCATGAAACTGCACAATTTAAAGAAAATCCTTGTCAAGATAGATGGCTTTAATTATGTTTAGAATGCTGTATACAAAAGATTTTGAGGCCTGTACAGAAAAAAAGCATATTACTCCTGATGTGCTGAAATTACTCATTAAATGTTTTGTTTCTGAAATGTGTTCATTGTCAGATTTAATAATTGTTACATTGTGATTTGTTTTGCTGGTTTTCTAAGAATTTCAGAAGGTCTTTATTAAAAACGTTGTCATATTGATTTCAAAGATGATCATTGTTCATTTTATATTGAAAGTGCCAAAACAGATTTATATAGAGAAGGAAATTATGTAGTTTTGGCAAAAACTGGAAAGTTTTCATGTCCGGTGCAATTATTACACACACACACACACACACGCACACACACACACGCACACACACACACACACACACACAAATATATATATATATATATATATATATATATATATATATATATATATATATATATATATATATATATATATATATATATATATATATATATATATATATATATATATATTATAGAGACCGGTTTGATAGAATGTTATTATCAGTTTACTTTTAGAGCTATAGTGTTGTGTAAAGTCTAACAAGAATGTAATAAAACGTTAAAAATGCTCCACTTTCTTACTGAGAACATGGGAACTTTTCTTCAATAGGACTAGATAGTCATCAATACGGTTTGCATATACTAAGGTCAAGTGGAGCTACTATTTGTGCTATTTCTGGTACTAATGATATACTGTGGAAAAAACATTGACGTTGGCGTTCAGAGACGGGTAAGGATGGATATGTTAAAGACAGTTTGAAACAACGTTTGTCTGTGTCATTAATTCTTAACATTTAATGATTTCGTGTAGCTTTATGAATGATATATTCATTTTAAATAACTTTTATAATATGAAGTGATTTGCTTGTGATTATATTTATTCAATGATTGATTTAATTGTGGAATTAAATACGAGTTTATAATCTTATATTTTGTGTAAGTGTTATTATATAAATAACACATGGGTTTATGGGTAACAGTAAACATATCATCCCGAGGAAAATACTGTTACGCCTCGGGTGACAGTATTTTTACGAGGGATGATATTTTTACTGTTACACACAAATCCATGTGTTATTTATTTTATTACCCCGAACAAATTGTGTGATGATCTGAATTTGTCAACTAAATCTAACTGAAACAAAAATAAACCAAGAGTAGCAATAACTAAACTGTCCTTACCTTGCAAGTTTTAAGTATTCTGTAGGCCTACTTGAGAAGCTGTTTTCCTTTTATTCTTTAAGCAAGAGATGATATCTACCAGTCATAAACATACAATAAGCTGTGTTTTATTTAGAAAACAAAACACTAACCCATTCTGTGAAATCTGACCCTTCTGTATCCAGAATATTTTTCGCATGGTTTTTGACAAAGTGCATTTAAAAAATAACGATGATAGTCTACAGAATGATGTCCGTCCACCAACTCTATCTTTAACGTTTCACTGGTTAAAATTGTTAAATAATCCTTAGTTGCATGCTTTAATCGTCTGCATGTTCCAGTTTGACACAAAATTATTCACATTACAATAATTATTACTTCCGTTGAAAACGGATGTTTACTTTTTGACTATTCACCAAAAAGATATTTGATACGCGAAAAGAACTCTAGGGTGCAAAGAACTAAATTTAATGAGAGTCATAGTTACTTTGGTTTTGCCCTATCGTCGAAAATAAGATAAATCGTGAGAAAAATCGCGGCCATTTCATTTGATTTTATTTAGAAAAAAGACCACGTGACCAGATTTTATACTGTTAAAAATACTGTTACCTATGGAACAGTACAAAATTCTTAGTTACGTGGTACACTTGCATTAACAGTAAGAATAACTCCCAGAGGCCTATGGGAAATTAACATTACGAAAAAAGTGAGGGGTAATAAATAGATCTATCATGAGTAAATCATTGGTGTGATTTGACAAGGCTTCATTCAGACAACAGACATAATTATATTATCTTAAGATAAGTATTATTTTTAAATATTTATCATTCATTTGATATCATTATTTTAACTGTTAATTATTACATGTTTGTTAATATAAAATATATTTATTTTTACATCAGTTAATGAGTGTACATGTTTTTAGAGATAATTTAATTTTGCTGCAAAGGCTTTATTTTTCAGTTTTAAATCGTGAAATATAAAATTGTTAGAATTTTTGTAAGCGTAAGTAATCAATTTATATTTTTTTTTGTGTTTTGTTTTATAGCAGCTGAGCTTCATACGATGAGTGTCATGAGGTTTTGACGTTTTTCATGAGAATGGGAAGACCTATTGTGTTTGCAAAGTTACAAAGGGCTTTTGATTCCACTTCTTCATAACGACTTATCGTCATGGATGAAATACAAAATGCTTGCAATCTTCTTCAGCACACACATCAACAGATAAGCATTTATTTCCAAAGTTGATTTAATGCTGAGATAGCTTACCAATTTTGTCGTGATGCTGAGATAGCTCACCGATCTGATTTGTGATGCTGAGATAGCTCACCAATTTATTTTGTGATGCTGAGATAGCTCACCGATTTGTTTTGTGATGCTGAGATAGCTCACCGATTTATTTTGTGATGCTGAGATAGCTCACCAATTTGTTTTGTGATGCTGAGATAGCTTACCGATTTATATTGTGATGCTGTGATAACTTACCATTTTTGTTTTGAGATGCTGAGATAGCTCACCGATTTATTCTGTGATGCTGAGATAGCTCACTAATTTGTTTTGTGATGCTGAGATAGCTCACCGATTTGTTTTGTGAAGCTGAGATAGCTCACCGATTTGTTTTGTGATGCTGAGATAGCTCCCTGATTTGTTTTGTGATACTGATATAGCTGACCGATTTTTTTGTGATGCTGAGATAGCTCACCCATTTGTTTTGTGATGCTGAGATTGCTCACCGTTTTATTTTACATAAAACTGAAAAGAATTTTGTTTTGCTTTGCTTTTATTGGTTTGGATTTATAACTTTCACTCTTTATTTGTTTCAATTGGTTTCTAAAAATTTAATCTGAATCAAGTCTAATAGGGCAGGTTTTATTTTAGTTTTATTTAATATCATATCGTGTTTTAAATTTATGAATACAGTTGTTTAAAATGTTTTGATATATTAAATGCTTTCTTTGTTTTGCTCGATTGAAAGTTGTCAAATACAATGCCTAAATCCTATTCTGTTGTTTTGATTCCTTTCTAATAAGATTATAACATGGGATAAGTGCATAATTGTTTCACTCACGATATAGAGTGAGTAAATAAAATTATTCAAGTTTTCCATTGTTATTTCATTCCAGTTCATAGTTAAGTTTATCCTTTGATAAGTCTACAACATATTTTGTTTCATGCATATCTTATTACATTGCAAGTGTTTTTGTACCAGTATGTAAGTATATAGTCGGTGTTTTACTATTGTTTCTTACTCGAGCCAGTATTTGACAGCTTTAAACACGTTCTTTAGAGTTATAGTTATTCCATCTTCCCGCCCTCCCAGTTTCTAAGAATGGATGTTATTAAGTGGTTTTCTTTTTTTGTCGAAACAAAGTATCGTTATTAATAGTTATATTTTCATTTATCATTATTAATATAGTTTCAGTATTTTTCAGGTTTATCGTTGGACGAATATGCATATGGCTTTCCGAATTCAGCTATTCAAGATACTATCCAATGGAACTGTTGTATACCTGAAGAGACTTAAACACGATCAAAACTACATGAGTAGTATAGGCGTTTCTAGGGCGCCAAACACTGCAAATATAAGCCCACCATCTCGGATATGACTCACTTCCGACGGCCATATTTGATGGCGGCAGCCATCTTGGAATTTTAACGAATGACATCATTTCTCCTACATAGCTTGAGGTCAGGGAGACGAGGATAAAATGAGTACGAGTGATTTTACTTAAGCTCGATCATAAGCGTTCGATAGAACGTCCAAAAACATTTCGTTTGATACCCAA